TCTTAAAAATAAAGGTGCTTCAAAAGGTTCTTCAAGCGATGCCATAGAAGAACCATTTTTGGTTCCACAAAGAACCATTCAGTCAAAGGTTCTTTAAAGAACCATCTCTTTCTTACCTTTTTGTAATCTGAAGAACCTTCTTTCGCCACAAAGAAGCTTTTGTGAAACAGAAAGGTTCTTCAGATGTTAAAGGTTCTTTATGGAACCATTTAGACAAAAAGGTTCTTCTATGGCATCGTGAAGCACCTTTATTTTTAAGAGTGCAGCTAGTAGCCAAAGGAACATTTCAGTTTAGTTTAACTTGATCTATTAAAATAACTAAAACTAAAACTGAAATAAAATTAAGAAAAATTAAGAAATAAAAAAATACAAAAACACAACAAAATTTAAAATTGAAATGAAACAGGAAATAATAGTATCTTGATGCTATAAAAATATCCAAGTTCATCAAAATGCTGTTCGGAAAAAAAAATAAAAAAATACTATTATAAATGAATTGTTGGTGTATTACAATGTTTGTTTACTAGTACACATAAGGCGAAAATTCTTTTATTTTTTTAAGTTCTAATGACTAAATTTTGAACACATTTATGCTACGAAAACAACAGAAGTAACAATGGCGAGATAGAAACTGCTCAAGAGTTTCTGAATGTCTTTTGTCCTGAACTCGTTTCTTCAGCAGGCGTGACGGTCGGTGTGCGTCACGTAACCTCGCTCTGTGTGTGTTTGTGTGAGGTTTCGTGACGGCACGCCTCGTCTCCAGTAAAGCCAGAGACCTCTGCTGAGAACTGACAGCCATTCCTCACTCTTCAGTCCCTCAGGGCATGTACAGTATGTGAGTTTACTGTCTTACAGGAATCAATCAACAGACAGTTTGTCAAGTACTTTTGAGGGCTATTTCACAAAAGTGCAATTACGTTAAGGAAGTCAATGCATTGTCTTTTTTTCATAATTTTTTGCCCTGAAGTTCACTTATGCTAAATAAAATAAAAATAGATTTACAAATTAAATGAATAAATACGTTTTTTTATTTAGTTTAGTGATTATATATAGGCCTATTCAAGTTTTTTCTAGAAATTTAACGACTTTATTTTTTTATTATTGTTTGGTCCTAATCCTACGGTGGCCGAGAGAGCTCAACGCGCTGCAACTTAAGAAAACACATGCAAATTGAAAAAACACCAGCAAATTAAGAAAACATCTTCATCAGTTTGACAACACACGCGCTGCAAATCCTCACAACACATGCAAATGAAGAAACGCGCTGCAAATCCTCACAACACAACCAAATAAGGATCTTAAGTTGCAGCGCGTTGAGCTCTCTCGGCCACCGTATAATCCTCTTCCGTACAGGACAGACTGGCCATTATTGAGCGCTATAAACACATGTAATGTGTGTTTCATTCATACTGGTGGCCAGAGGGCGCCCTCGCGCAGAAAATCCACATATGCGTCACAGAAGTAACAGAACTCATGTGGGTTTGCACTACAGCTGAGCTAGAAAACACTGCGGTCGCCTTTCGTTTGCTCTGCTAACCGTATTTCTGCTCTTCAGCGAGTGAAGCTGCACTGAACGGCGTGAGGATGCAGAACATCAGCGGATCCAGATCTCACACCTCTCAGAGCTTCAGCTGCGTGTTCACAGGTCAAATCATGTCTTTATGACACAAACACCATACAGAACAATGCATGTGAGATTATGAAAAATAAATAAGAATATGAATACATTTTCATATAATTGCATAAGATGTAGCTTATAAAATGTAGTAATACACACACACACACACACTTTAAGCACTAAAACCTACAGTATATGGACATATTAAAATTTTTTTTTAAATTAATTAATCACAACAAAAGTTTAACTGAAACAACTGAAAATTAATTTTTCATATAAAAAAATATACAAATAAAATCTAATTGAAAAAAATTAACTGTAATATGTAACTGATACTAAAACAAAACTACAAAAATACTGGTATGTGTATTGAATGATTACCATATTGATCTCAGTAGGACTCTCTGGTACTCTAAAGTACTGTTTGTTAGTGCTGAGATGAAAATGAAATCTGCATTGAATGCATTTACACACTTTCATCAGCCGTATGGTTTTATTTATTCAGAAAATGAGACGCGGGCATGTGGGCTGCTCTTCTGTTTGCTGTGTGTGTGTGTGTGTGTGTGTGTGTGTGTGTGTTTGTGTGTGTGTGTGTGAGAGTGAGTGTGTGTGTGTGTGAGTGAGTGTTGTGTGTGTGTGTGTGTGTGTGTGTGTGTGTGTGTGAGAGTGAGTGTTTGTGTGTGTGTGTGTGTGTGTGTGTAAGAGTGTGTATTTGATCTCATTTAATGGTGGCTTAAGGACACAGAGACGCTGCTGTACGTTGGAAACTGATTGCCAGTAAACGCAGCGAATGTTGCGTTAGATTTCAGGCCAGAAGTCACCGTACTTTGTGCTCCAGTTTAATTAAAGCGCCTTTAAGCTACATTGACAGCAGAGCTCAGAACATGAGAAACACATCCGCAGGAACCAGGCCAGTAATTTTGTGTTTTTTGATTTTTATTCATTTTGTTTTAAATATTTTAAATGAAAAAAATAAAAAATTTATAAAATCAAACATAAACAATTTTTTACATTTCCTTTAAATTATTTTAGCAAATTAGGTTCAACTAAATGTTTACCTTGATGTGCTAAATAAAGTTAAAGTTTCAGTAATTTTATGTTTTTGGCATTTACATTTTTTATTATTTTTTTATTATTTTTGAATTATTTTACTTTTTATATTTTCAATTTTAATACAATTTTAGTTAAAGTTGTACTAATTTTTTGTGGTTTTGTAATTTTTATTAGTTTTGTTTGCATTTCTTAAAATATTCTTAATCTTTTAAATTTGACATTTTTAATTTAATTTTTATTTATATTTATTTTTCATTTCTTAATTTTGTTTTAGTTTATTTTAGCAAATAAAGTTAAACTAAATGTGCTAAATCAAGTTAAAGTTTTAGTAATTATATTGTGTTTTTGACATTTTTATTTTTCTTCATTTTTATTTTATTTATTTTTTTTTACAATTTATTTTTATTTTTATTTATTTTAGCACTTACATTTTCAAATGAAACATATTATTATTGTTATAATTATTAAAGGTTTCAGTTTTAGTTATCTATAATAACCCTGACCTGGAAACCTTTGCAACGTTTGACCTGAAAAATATGAAGTCCTCTCTCTCTGTCTCTCTCTCTCTCTCTCTCTCTCTCTCTCTCTCTTAATTTCTCACATCATACAGCATGAGTTGCATTGGCTCTAGACTGAGCTGGATGTGTTATTTAAGTCTGTGAAACATTAATGTAGCAGCACTTATGCATGAGCTGTGTCTCAAACGCTTCGTTCAGTGGGACATTTTAAAGCCATGTGAGCTAACGAGCCAGAACCACCTGACGTGACCTGGAGTGTTTGTACAGCTGTGTCTGTGATTCATCAGAGCAAACGTCTGCATCTGCATTCAGATGCTGCAGGGTCTCAGTGCATCTAGTGCATTGATTTTATTGGGGAATTTATTTTATTTGTTTAGTAAATTAATTTTATTGGGGAAGTTATTTATTTATTTACTACATTTATTTTATTGTGGGGAAGGTGGTTTGTTTATTTATTTAGCAAATTTATTTGAATGGGGGATACATGCATTTATTTAATTTGTTGATTTATTTGTTTAGAAAATGTATTTTATTTGGAAGATTCATTTATGTATTTAGGGGGATTTATTCAGTACATGTAATTATTTATTTATAATGGTCAGCAAACCAGTTAGAAGTGGTTTTGGCTCTGTGGGCAGGTGCTAAAGTCCTGCTGGAAAAGGAAATCAGCATCTCCATAAAGCTTGTCAGCAGATGAAAGCATAAAGTGCTCCAAAATCTCCTGCTAGACAGCTGCATTGACTTTGGACTTGATGAAACACAGTGGAGCAACACCAGCAGACGTCACGGCACCCAAATCATCACTGACTTCAGAAACTTCACACTGGACTTCAAGCAGCTTGGATTCTGTGCCTCTCCAGTCTTCCTCCACTCCAGACCTTGATTTCCAAATGAAATGCAAAATTTACTTTTCTCTGAAAAGAGGACTTTGGAGCACTGAGCAACAGTCCAGTTCTTTTTCTCCTTAGCCCAGGTAAGATGCTTCTGACGTTGTTTCTGTTTCAGAAGTGGTTTGTTAGCTCTTTTCCTGAAGGCGTCTGACGTGACTCTTGATGCTTTCAGAAGTGGCTTGGTAGCGCTTTTCCTGAAGACGTCTGAGCGTGGTGACTCTTGATGCACTGACTCCAGCTTCAGTCCACTCCTTGTGAAGCTCTCCCAAGTGTTTGAATCGGCTTTGCTTGATAGTACTCTCAAGTAGAGGTCTACACAGAGGACCCGAGACCTGAGGACCCGGGATCCGTACGGGTTCAGGGCTATATGTTAAATGGTCAGCCAGGTCCGGGTCGGGTCCCAATCTATTACTTCGGGTCCCGGGTCTGTTTAACATTGTGTGTAATACCCGAGTCGATCGGACTCGGAGAACACCCAGCCGTTATCAGAGTCAGTCAGCGCTGTGCGTGTGTTGTTTTGTAACTTTCAACTTGTAAAATTAGTTGGACCCGTGTAGACCTCTACTCTCAAGCTTGCGGTCATCCCTGTTGCTCGTGCACCTTTTCCTACCCAATTTCTTCCTTCCAGTCAACTTTGCATTTAATATGCCAAATCAATGCATATGAAAATTTTCATTCGCCTTTATTTATTTGTTTGTTTATTTATTTATCCTGTTGACTTTTCCGATTTATATACTGATTAAAAGAATCCAAAATCTTTTAACCCTAATATGTTAACAAAATGAACCAATAATTCTGAACTTGGCTTCATCAAATGTTCAGATTTATGTTTTAGGAATTTATACAAATGATTGAAAATTAAATTAGATAACATTTATATTTCAGAACACTTGTAATCCAAAACAATTGACTTACATGTATTTAATGCTTGTGTTCGGCCTGTGAAGAAATTATAACCATTAGTAATATTATAGTAGTAGTAATAGTAGTAGTAATATTTATTTATTAAATTATCTAAAACAAACCATTCAAGCTTAATAGGGTTAATAATAAATGTATCTTAATAAATATATATTTTTGTTTATGCAAATTTATAATATATTTGTAATAAAAATTAAAACAAACAAAAACAACTTTTTAAATGTTTTACTTTACATGTAATGAATCTAGAATATATGAAAGTCTCACTTTTTGAAATTAGTTACAAAAAACTGATTTATTATTAGAATTATCAATGTTGGCAACAGTTGTGCTGCCAATAATAAATACTGTATATAATTTGCATAAACAACAACAACATTAACAAAACAATTGCCTTAATATACTGTGTTTAAACATTATGGCGATATCTTTTAGTGAAACTTTTTATCCTATTCACCTTTTGAAGAATATATATATATATACAGTATATATATGTACACTGCCATTCTAATGTTTGGGATCAGTGAGATTTTTTTAACGGAGTTTCTTCTGCTCATCAAGGCTCTATTTATTTGATCAAAAATACAGAAAAAAAATGTAATATTGTGAGATATTATTTCAATTTCTAATATTGGTTTTCTGTTTTAATATATTTTAAAATATAATTTATTTCTGTGATCAAAGCTGA